CCAAGATAGTATTGGCAATGATTTAGGCCCCTACAGGGATGTAGGGGTCTTGATCTTAGCAACGTTTCGGTCATGGGTTTTCAGGTTTAGGGTCCTGAGGGGATCCCTGGTCCAGGGCCGTAGGATTTGGGGTTTAGGGCTGTAGGGTTTAGGGCCGAATGTGGGGGCTTTAATTCTTAGAATAGGGCTTTGGCGCGAATTATACTAAATTATCATCAAGGAACCCCCAAAATAGTTTTGGTAATTGTTACCCCTATATTAGGTCGGGGGTAGGAGCTTTGGAGTTTGGAGCGGGGCAGGCTTAGGAAGCTTCAGGTTTTAGGCGCTTGAGAGTTCCAGGTTGTTATGGGCTTAAAGGGTTTAGGGTTTGATTTCGGGTATAGAGCTGTTTGATGGGTTTAGCTCAAGCTCTTTCGCTTCAGATCTCCCCAAATCATTGGGAACACAAAGACACGATGCAGCACTGTGGCTTCGAGGCTAGTGGAGACATCGAAATACAAAGGGCATAAGGATAATACTGGAACTTAGGCGCCTTAATAATTAGAATGGGGTTTTGGGATTATACTATATTTATAATAAAGTACCTCCAAAATAGTATAGGTAATTATTCAGGCCCCTATGTTCGTCAGAGGGAAGATTACCGCAAGAGACCTGCCGACTCTGTCATGGAGTTATGAGCTCATATACATGCTTGAAGGAACATATTAGGGTTTCGGTGGCTTATGTGCTAACCGTGGTGCTGCTACGAGCAGGGACCTCTGGGAATGCACAACAGTATTAGAAGATTCCAACCAATTGCGGACTTAAGTTAGGTATAGAAGCAACGTATGTGAAGATTTGGAGGAGTATATGACTAGGGGGTCTCTATGTACTACTACTGTTTTGAAGTTAAGGCCCAAAACCATAATAAGGATAGTCCTTGGGGACCTCCATCATCGTAGCAGAAACGGACCCACCGGAAAAGGTAGGGTTTTCCATCCAGGTTCCTCAATAAGGCTCAGTTCCAAGTTTTAAGATTTTCGGGCTTGGGCGTTGGGTTGAATCAGGTCTTCTCTGCGTGCTGCACTCGAAGCTCCCGCTCATGCCTTCCAGCATGGCGCGCGCGCGCTGACAACTTCTCCTCTGGCATTGTCCAACCTGTCGCTCTACTTGATCAAGACGGACCCGGCACAAAAAGAGGCAGCCAAGCCCCTGGCACAACCGGGTGTCAAACATCAAGGCAAAGCGCAAGACTGTTGTCGGTCGAAGCATCCGTTTGCCGTTTGTGATATACTGCGCCAGTAATCAGGTCAAGTTTGACCTGAAGCTGGGCTTGTATGGCTTGAGACAACGTCCCTAAACCCTAACCCAGATGGTTCCTTTCCAACTTGAAGATCCTGCCAAAGGTCTGGGTCAGGCTGGCCTCACTAATCCCAACGTGGTAATCTGCAGGACTGGCTGTAAGTAGCTTCAAGGCAGGTCAGAATACAGATGGACCCATGAAGAGTATCTACAGCTCTGCTTAAAACCCTGACCCCTGACCCTGAAGCCCTTTAAACCCTAAACCGTGAGCCCTCCCTCGACCTCCACTTGCCCTCTGCTCTCCCCTAAATACCTTCTGTGAGTCTATTAAGGAGAATGGGGATTTACAAAGCTACTTGCTAAGTCCTAGGATCCAAGGCCCCTGAAAATCCTAGATGCGACGCCCGTATCTTAAAGAACCCCTTTGAAGGGAGCCCTTAACCCTCGTATCTGTTTGGGGTTCTGGAGATGGGGTTAAGCGGCTGAGGCTTTAGAGTTAAAGCCTAAAGTTATTTAAGGTTTAGGGTTTAGGGTTTAGTCCCTATAATCCCCTGTCAGCGTTCAGGATCCAAATAAACGATATATCATAATCACGACCACATAGAGCCTGAGACACATACCTTTAAACACCCTGAATCTGCAAAACATCTTTAAAACGAGCTATAGAAACTAGAAAGGGCTCTAAGGCTCTGAACCCTAAATCACAAAGACTAAACCCCATAAAAAGGGTAAGAACGTCCCCAGAGTCTTGCAGAAACCCTAACCCCAAAACCCTGTAAAACATCTAAGAACTTTCAAAGTCCCCACAGTCTGAGCCGCTCTTTGGCCATGAGCTGCTGCAGGAGGCTCTGGTCCGTGACGCCATTCATGGCCTTCCAAGGATCACCGACTTTTTGCTCTTCAGGGCTCCCTTAAGGGTTTAGGGTTTCGGGTTTAAGCCTTCCAAGGGTCACCGACGTTTTGCTCTGTAGGGTTCCCTTAAGGGTTTAAAAGTTTAGGGTTTTGGGTTTCGGCCTTCCAAATGTCAGCATTTGTTGGGTTCTTCAGGGTCCCCTTAAGGGTTCAGAGTTTAGGGTTCAGGGTTTGCCGATTCTTGCTCTTCAGGGCTACGTCAAAGGATGCTCCTATGCCTCCCCTGCTGGGGGTTCGACTGTTTAAGAATTCACTGTAAGGGTTCAAGTACGTAGGTACATATGCGTGCTTGTCTGTACTGTACTGTACGGTACGGTACTGTACCTATCTGTGTATGTATGTATGTCCGTATGTGAGCACTGTTTTCAGGGAACTCAAAAGGTGAACCTTCGGAATATGTCGGGGATGTAGTACCCCAAGAAGGTGAGAGGTTACCTACTCTACTGCTAAGTTTATGTCTGGGTCTGACAGGTGGGAGTTAGGATGAGGGGGACCCTTGGGGATATAGACCCTCTCAATAAGGTCCCTTTTGAGAGAGCCATAAGTAGGGTTCCGGTAAGGGGTCTCCCTGATGCTACCTAGGAATGGCTGGCACAAGCTGCAGACCGGACGTACACGGAAAAAAGGGAGCCTGCTTCAGACCTCCTTCTAAGCCCTATAGTATAGCGGCCTTAATAATTGGAATCGGGCTTTGGGGTGCAAGTCCTGGCCGGTCGAATGAAGCTCTACATGCTAGATCCCAAGCTGTCAGAAGTTGGTCTCTATCATTCCTTTCTAACCTCACAAGAGCAAGAGCCACGAACCAAAAATCAACGAAGCAATAACCTGAGGACGATCTTTTGTGGCGGGATAGCACCTGCCATTGCTCACGAAGGTCAGTGAAGTCCCTGGCCGTCAGCAGCAAGGTGTTCAGAAGGGTTCTACAAGGGTTTCATAAGGTTTCGATCAGGGTTCTAGTAAACCCTAAACCCTAACCTTAAATTGGGGTTGTATTAAAACATAGAATATACGCTCTGAGGGTTCAGGGCTTCGAGAACCTGCAGGAAAGCTGACCCACGCAAGTATAAACCTTCAGGCCCCGTAGTTCTGACCCTAATCCAGGTTAAGAGTTTAGGGCTTAGGGTTCTCGTGAACCCTCATCACTGAGCAGTAGTAGTAGTAGTAGTAGTAGTAGCAGTAGTAGTGGGTGGGTACTTAGCAAACTTAGCAATGAAGGCTTTTTGCGGAGGATATGATTATTAAAAGTTTCTTGGACCCTGAGGGTTCGTGGATCCTGAGTTGATTGCACAAGCTCCACAGCTCCCGCGGAAACTGGTGCACCTGGTATTGGCAATACTGGGTTACAAAGTGACATCACTGATTTCAACACTCCACTTAACAGGTGCGCGGACACTTGATCCGAAAACTCCTCACGGGTTCAAGTGCCATCCAGGTTACTACTACTGTATCTTAAACCCTAGTACCAAAGTCGTTAGGTACGTTGGATTCCTCGGCATAAGCTTTAGAGCTCTGATCTCGAGGTAGACTGGAGACCCTAAGCTCTATAACCCTTTTCGGGCTGTGGCTTTGGGTTTCGGGATTGTACTGCTTAAGGTTTAGGACTCGGGAAACCAGGTATAGGGTCGAGGATTCAGGGATTACAGGGAGCCGATGCCTGGCAGAGGTTTCCAGCTGCACGACCGCCGCAGAATCTGCAGCATTGGCAGATGCAAGCCTTCCAGCACACGGCGCCCGAAGTAAATCCTTTTTGGGTTTAGGGTTTCGGGTTTAAGGATGTGATAGGATTTCATAGGGTTTTATAGAAGGTGCTTTCTGGATTTGATGAGATGTCAGAGGGTTTTCAAAGAGTTTTACACAGTTTTGCAGGGGTCTTCTGGGGCTCCGTCAGGCCTTCATGGGGTTCTATAAGTGTCGTAAACCGGAAATGGCGGGCTACAAGGGTTTACAAGACTCTGTTAGGTCGTGTACGACTTTACAAGGCCTTTTTGTGCTCTCGAATGGTCTTGGCTATAAAGATATTCATAAATCATACAAACGAAAACATTCACTCACTAACTGTTCATATCCATGTATTGGACGATCATATGCGCACCTACATTGCTACCGTCCTAAAACCGCGCCCCTAAGCATAAGGTCCTTTAAACCTTGGGATCCTGACGGCCGCAGGACCTAAACCTACTCGAGAAACCAAAGCATACAGCCCCGAATTCCAAAACCCACGGCTGCTCTCGAGGTTTGCGTTTTGGGGCCCAGAGTTTAGGTTCTATGGGCCACTGCGATATGCTTAAGAGCTGCTTTGTCGTGCTACATGAGTTCTGCTTAGAGGAAACACTCCTCCCTCCCACCACGTTCTTCTTGCGGCGAAGGTCAGAGAGATGAATTGTGCTACTCCTCGTTTGCAGCATGCCAAACAACCTCCAGGCTGTTTGCCAGCTATAGCTACAACTACCACTACCACCCACATACCTGGGAACGTAGATTCCAACACCCTATGTCTACATAGGCTTGTGGGAGGGCGGACGTTCTTGCATCCTTGACGCCCAAACCTCTCAGCCGCTTGTCCCTTCAATGACGTGTGTTGAAGAGAAAACACTCGAAACCTTATCAACGGAAGACTGGCAAGCCAAGCCCGCCTCCCTACACCTGAACCAATGCCTCCATGTGCCACACATAGCTAGACTGTAGCCTGTGTGCAGTACCTTTATTTGCACAAGTGACTAAGACAAATGGGCAAGTTGCAAGCTATGCAGCAGTAGTGCGGCTAGTTTGTGCAACACGTGTGCACCCTATGCCAATTTCGCCGGCTTATGTATGAGGATTGTTGGCACATTGCTCCACGCAAATTCCTTCATTCACGGGTACTGAGCTCTGTGCCTAGCTGCATAGTCAGCACCTCAACCGACACCACGAAAGAGACCGAAAGCTATGACAACCCTTCCCATGATGCCACTTCGGCCCACCCACCCTGGTGACAAGCCTGCTGCCGGAACTATGCCGTACCTCACAGCACATGTTCGGGGGCATTACCGTTAGCTTGTGGGACTTGAGGCTTAGTGACGTGGGCTTCGGCTTGGGCAGTTGCTGTTTAGGCTTGGGTCGTGGCAGTGGGCGTCTCTTGCACGGATTCATTCGTATGACTTGAAGCATCAGGGGGACTCGTCGGGTAGCATCGGCTGGTCAGGGGGGCGCTCCATGGGGCTTTTCGAACCCTACAAAGCGCCAACCTGCTAAGTGCCCCCGATACCCTAAACCTAGTAGCATAGCCTACCACGAACAAAACCCGAGCATACTTCTAAGCCCTCCTTCAACCTGTACGCACAGTAAACCCCTAAGCCGCATAGAACCTGCATGCTTACGGCCCATATTGTTTAATCATCATGCCTGGTAGGCTCGTCGCTGACGCCACCACTGTAGTGCCTCGGTGGTTCAGGGATTTACGCTACGGGCTTCCACGCCAACTTATACGAACGTCACGACGCTAAACCCTAAACCTTGTATTCTAAACAGTCAAGAGACTTTTGCAACCCAAAGATGATAGGATCTCCACAATACAGGCACCTTAGTAAATCGAAGAAGGTATTGGAAATGTGAATTGGATATACATATATATATATAGAGAGAGAGAGAGTGGACCTTTCTGAATATTAATTATTTCGAGAATTCTAATGAGAATTAGATCATATCAAGGATATTAGAATGGGTCCCATCGATTTCATCCACACCATTCTTTAGAAATATAGAAATGCCGATTCCATGGGCGACCATATCCCTGTATCAGTTTTTCCTCCCGCCCCATTCAAAAATATATTTTCGACCTGGATTCCGCGATACCCTGGCACAGATATACTCTCGCGCACCCTTCCACCCCCTATCCCATAATAAACAAGCGAGAGCTACTCCACGATATTCAATATAACTATATGCGGCAATATCGCGCGCGACCTCCCCTACAATAATGCCTTTTGTCATTCTTTCGCCTCCATTTTATTTCCTCCCACCCTTCATTTATTGATCTTCTATATCTTCTTTGATAATGAATATTTGTTTTCTGACCACATAGGTTAAATTCCTGGAGTTCCAACCCAAAAATAGAAGATATTTGTAGCTTACACCCAAATCTGAGAATCTGGACGAAATTCGAATTAAAGACATGACTTGCGAAGAAGAATCAAAATAATCTCCAAAGATCTTATCGCTTTAGATCCTATTCTTAAACCCTATAGCCTATAACCTTAAGCCGTGATTGCACCCTGATCCCTTAGTCTAAAAACCCTTACTGTAGCATGCCAAAGAAACTTGAAGCCCCTAAAATCCTAAATCTTACAAGTTGAACCCGAGATCCCTCAGCCGTCGCGCGCAGGGCAAGGGGGCCATAAAGAAAAGGAGCGGGCCACGGCCAGGGGAAGGCGGGACGGGGAGAGAATACGGTCATACGACCATATACGCAGCCCATCTCTCCATAGTACTCTCTCTAACTCTTATACCTAGACTTCTCCATTCCGAAAAGCTCGTTTCAATCCCCTCGTCTCTCGCTCCATTTACCCTCCACATTACACCAATTGACGCCCGCGACTTTTTGAAGATATTTTGTTCGACCCACCCTCGCCCTGCGACTTACAGGCCCTCCCCCACCACCAAACAATAGCGCTTTTAATATACATACCCTCACTATCCTTCTGCATCGGCCTGGTGAGCTACATAAGACTTGAGGTTGCAAGTGCACACGTTTGTTTGGTGGTGCAATACGAATTGTGGGATGAACAATTTCGTAGTCGGCAAAGGCCTCAGAAGATGGCCGCTCCGACCGTGCAGAGGCTGAACTGGAGCGCGGTTCATTCTTCACCTTTTTGAACTTCTTGCTTCATTCGTGTCTTGAAGGAGATGTTGCTTCCATCTGCTTTTTCTTTTTCTTTTTTGCTTTCTTGTCCTTTTTTCTTGGTTTGACTTTCTTCTTGATCTTCTTCTCGTCAGGCGGATTGACTCTGTTGCACGGGAGGTTCTTAATTGCAGCTATCTGATTTTGCCTCCTGCCTGGCTAGGACTGGGTCTCTTGCTTTCTCCATAGGCCTACACATATAGCTTTAGATCGTAGGACATATTCTGTAATACAGAAATTCGTTTGTATATTTTATGTGTATATAAATACAAATATATATATATATATATATGGGTGTTGGGAGGGATTGCCCGGTGGGTTTCTTTTTGGCACGCCGCTCGTGCCTCTCTCACTCGCAAAGAGAGTGTTGGAGGTCTTCCAAAGACCCTCCAACACTCTCTGTCAGCGCTTGGAGAGCGCTCCGCAGAGTGGCGCCCGAGGCTCCCAAGGCCAGGCGCCTGCGCACGCACAACTCCGACCCCGAGCCCGGAATCTTGCAGCGTTCGCTTTTGAATGGAGAACGGTTGGCTGGGGATTTCTTCAAGTCTTATGAAGGGCCGAATACAAATTGTGTCCATGTCTGTTTGGCATTCAGGGGTAAGGAAAAAAGTAACCGCCTAGGCTAAGGGAAATGCACAAAGCGCTCCGCGAGAATTCTGACCATGTCCCGGGGACATAAACGCCAAACTACGCGGAGCCCTGCCTGACAACTCGCTGTGCGATGCTCGAACTAGGGACTCCGATCCGCATCATTATTACCGGTATTGTTGCAGCATCTATGCAAGACTTTCCCGCATATTTATACACATACATTCACATACACATATACGTATACATACACAGATATACGGATACACAGATATGCAGATATACAAGTATACATAAATTTTTAAATACATAAATACATAAATACATCAATACATAAATACATAAATACGTCAATACATAAATACATAATACATGAATGCATGAATCCATGTATGCATATATACATATATATATATATACATATATATATATATATATATTTATACATATACACATACACGATATAGATATAGAGATAGACATGGACATATACATATGCCTACACACGTACATATACATGTACACATACATACACATCTACATCTACATGTATGTATACGTATACATGTACATATACTTATACAACGGCCTATGCGTATATACATATGAAAATGCAAATACAAATACATGTCCATATACAACACATAATACATAGTCATAATCACACACACACACACACGTATATATCTACATATACCATGTGTATATATATATATATACATGTGCCAGAACGAAGAACCCGACACTACCTGTTACACTACACATTCAGGGGGCTCGTGCTGCATAAGTATGCTCCTTTCGCCCTGTGGCCTCGCAGCCCGGGCCAATGACACCGGCGGCAGTCCGCTCCCCGCTCAGCACCAGCAAAGTGTTGGACACTGTCACAGCTGGCTCAGGAAACCAAAGTACGGGAACTGCAGTCTGCCACCAGAGGGCCCAGAATGTGCCCAAACCGTTCTTTCCCTGTGAAAGGTCCAACGCAAGGAAGCTGTGACAAAAGCCACAGCTTTTCCTGCACGCTGGTGTGCGGGGAGCAAAGCCGCTGGCAGGCAGCACCGTTCTGATCCAATGTCTTCCTCGGAGCCGCGCGAGTTGGTCAATCGAAAATTTGGGCCAGGACCGGGCGGGCACCCTTCTTTGGTGAGTGTGCTTCGGCGTGATGTGCTCTGGCTTGCAATTTTAATTGTGACTTCGGAGCGGCCTGTTTGGTGCTACCGCTGCTGCTTGATTGACAGCTTAATTACGTCAAAAACGGTTACTTACCGAGTGCAGCTGTCAGCCATCTTGTTGACGTTCGGGCTGCCTCTCTACGATAGGACCGGTCTGTACTGAGAAAGGACTGTCCTCTAAGAGGGACGACTTTCGTCTGTTCGGAAGGGACCAATGGGAAAAGACCCCATTGCATGGCTTGCTAAGCTGCTAAGCAAGTCCGATTTACACAACCAGTTCAAACTGCAACTATGAATGCTGCCTGCCACCTATTGTCTTTGTGAAAGGGGCACCAACTGACACTCGACACTGGATTTATGACTGGCGGCTCCCATCGGTTCAGAATCATGACGGCGTGCTCTGCCAGGGTCAGGCCCTCGAACCCGGCCGCGTAGCTGGCACGGTGCCCTGTCCATGCCGGGACACGCTCAAACTATGTAAGCCCTCGTCAGCCTCCGTTCCAACACACGTACCATATCTCCCTGCTTTGTTTTCGGTTTTCAGTCTACGGCTGCCAATGCATTGACTGCAGTAAACGAAACACTTCCTAAGCAAAGCTAACCGGGATGAACCACATGCCTTCGGGGTGGAGAGTGCCAAAGGCCCCCCCCGGCAAGGGTCCGTTGGACCTGCCCCCAGTTGGGCTGCTCCAGACGAAGACGGTCTGGGCAAGCGCTCCACGCCCTCCTTGAATGCAAGCGGACATGGACGTACCAAAAACCAGCAAGTTCGAAAGTACTGGGGGTCTGGACCCGCTTTAGATATTGCACCCAGCCACGTTGCCATGTTCTGCGACCAAGGTGCAGGTTCGAGAGGCGCCAAAACCGCAGCAGCACCAGAAGCTGCAGTTTGCGGCTGCGGGCTCTCCTCGAAGCCTTTACGCAGGCGTCCACCAATGGGATGAGGTGGATACACCGCTTTGACACGCTGTAAAGGCCTCCAGCTGCTTCTTCACGAAGCGCGGAGCCACTTGTTAAGCACCCGGCTAGTTCATTTTCAAATCGTTTCATCGACCCTGCTGTATGCAGTGTTGATGAGACAGTGGCTACCTTGCTTTCGCTTGTAGCGGGGCTGCTGGCATCTGCAGACTCAGCACGTCGGCGGCCCCCTGTAGAAACAGAGCCACATACGAAACGATGAACATACTCTTGGGCGGCAATAGACAAGCTCTGGGTTCGGGGGTTGGAATACGTGTCCCTGTCCCCTGTCCCTTGTCCCCTGTCCCCTGTCCCTTGTCCCTTGTCCCCTGTCTCCTGTCCCTTCTCCCCCGTCTCCTGTCCCTTGTCCCCTGTTCCCCGTCCCCTATCACCTGTCGTCCCTTGTTGTTCCTCGTTACCTTCTGCATCTTGTTGTCCACTGTCCGATATTAACATTGGATATATCCGTGCCCCTTGAGTTTACGGCCACAGCGCATACTGTCTGAAAGGATTTTTTTCAAGCGCCGTGTCCGAGTGTCGTACTCAGTTACATCCATCATTATAGGCGCTCAACTCAGCCTCATTCCACACAAGACCAGAGGGCGGAAAATTAAACTCAGAAGAACTTACATCCCAGGAACGGTCGCTTACGGTTTCGTTGGTCTCCTTTGGAGAACCAACCCTCACGGGACCAGGAGCTACTAGACCAGGACGATTTGCGTCCTCCAGAGGACCAGCCGTTCCAGTACCTAGTCTTCGCGAGACGCGCCGCAACTGCCTCTTTCTCAGTTTTGCGTGCTTTCCTCGCTGCAGACCTGGCGCTCTGTAAACGTAGCCTCTCTACACGAGCACGTGCAAGCTGAATCTCCAACTCTAAACATTGCTTCTTTCCGAGGCCTTTCGGCTCAAAAGTTGTTGACTCGACTGTTGTCTTTGTCGCGATAGTTCTCGTCTTGTTGATAGGCACCGTAGACTTCTTCCGTGGAGTCTGCGGCTTAGCGGTAATCGTCTTTGTCGTGGTAGTGCTGGTCTTGTTGGTAGAATCTAGAAGCTTCTTCGGTGGAGTCTGCTGCTTGATGGTCTTACTAGACCGTTGCTGTTGTGGAGTACGTTGGCAACGATCAGCACCCCATCTACCGCAGCCACCGCATTTCGATCGTGCCATATGTTATGCGACGCGACTGGTGGAAAAGACTACAAACCTAGAAGTAACAAAAAACTGCGGACAAACATGTGTGAGTTTCACTGAAAACTGCCAAGCACCGCTAACGTTGTAGCTGAGGCCCATAGCTGAAGGTTGCACGTTGCGAGCATTCAACTACATCATCTTAAAAACATTTATGTTTTTGGAGCACTGTAACATATTATAGACACCATATATAAGCCGTGAAGAGGGATATACACTAACAAACGTTTAAATAGTGACGATATGGACAAATACATCTATAGGACATCACGGATTTCAACTTTGTACAATCAGGGCATGCGCTACGCATCAAGAGTTGTCCAACATGATAAAAGGTACGTTAATATACAAAGCAAACCCTGTGT